ATTAAAGGCAGCACGTGCCACAACTAGCAAGGTTCAAAGTGAAACATTTTCATTTTTGAGTCACAAGAATTTCTGATTTTGAAAACGACTCTGCAGAGTTCAATTGAAATTACAATTCTTGTTCTTTAATTTAAGAGGCATTTTGAATTTGTGAAATGTCTTAATTATTTGGTACTCTAAATTAAATTACGGATTTTCAAAAGTCAAAAAGGCATACAGCGAAGCAACAGACAAATTTCAGCTTTTCTGCCTAGGCCATTACACAGTCATTTGTTAGAATGTTTAAACTTTTTAACATTTGAAATGCAGATGGGAACTTTTTTCATGTTCTGAAGCACATTCCGATTAACATCCACGGCTTGTGAACAGATGACTGTATAACGGGGAACAATATTTTAGGGAGCCAGTTTTTATAACTATAAAAATTAGTAACTTGTGCAACAGAGTGCTACGTCTATTTTAGAATCAAATAGAAAAAAATGCATGTTATTCAATAGGCATAGTTGTGCATGTTCAGACTTGGTTCTATTTAAGAGAAAAAGAGAACTGGCTACCCTTAGTGAATAAAAGCAAAGCAATGAATTATTTACTTTAGCACAGGAAATAACAAATAACTGACTTGTTTCTTGCATATTTATATACACAGTTCAGAACGCTTAATGTGAAGATTAAGACTGCTACAAGAAAAGAGCTTAAAAAAAAAAAAACAACTTCAGATAATAAAAATTGTGGGTATAATTCATTGCAATGACTTAAAAACACCCACTGGCAAAATTAGTAGTAGTAAAGCAATCTTAAGATAAACACATTAGATGTGCTGCACAAGAGATTGTTGAGTGAATATGCTAGTCAGGTATGTCACTATTTTGATATTACAGGAAAAAATGTACATATGTCCCAACTACAAACAACACCCATTTGAAGGAACTTGCATTAATTTTTTCAAAATTTAAAATTAACTCATTAGAAACATATAATAAAATAAAAACTGAACCATTTTTTACAGAGGTTAATCAATATAACATGTACAATGGGAATGGCAAAGGGAAATACACAAAGTTTTTCATTTTCAATTACACCCTTTACATATTCACCATGAAACACAAAAGGATTTTTAAAGAGACGGAAAAAAAAGAATAGGAGCAATTATGCAGAAGGTGAAAATTTTAATATACACTTTCTTCCCCTAGAAAAGTGTAAATTAAATTTTAAATTAAGTATAATCTTTTATAGTAGTTACACTGCGACACGACGAAATGTGCGTCTACTTTAAAAAAACCCTAATATTCCAACAGCACAGCAGAAAAGTGTTTCGTCTATGATCTTGAAATCTTTTCGTGGTTCACAACCCCTATCATAAATAACCCATTACATTAAAACCACACAAATAAAACAATACGTATGTCTGATTCCGATCAGTTCAGTAAACGGTAAGACGAACAATAACTAAAACAAAGTTACCAACATAATGGAGAGGAGGTTAGCAGGTGAAAAATTAAATTTACCTCATAAAATTAACTTTGCATTTAAAAATTTTGTCCTGGCACTTCTAAAACTTTTCAGAAATGATTACGATGTGAGGTTGAGAAGTTTACATGAAATTAACGCCGAAATCAATAATGCAAATTTTCATTTTAAAATAACATTAAGAGCAATTTGTGGAAAAAAAAAAAAATCTTCATTGCTGACACAAAGTGTAATTGGCCACGAAGATATTCTCTTGCAAGTATTAATGATTGGGTGACATTAATTTATTCTTTCAAATGGGGTATGAGCAGGGGGAACATAATATTGACAGAAATCACATACTATATGCAAAATGCTTCCGAGAAAGTTGGGTTCAAGTAAAAAAAAGACACTCACTCAGACACAATCCCAGCAGTCAACAAGACAAAAAATCTCCCAGAACACTACTACACTAGCTACAAAATACATACACCATCACTAGTCCCATACAAGCCCCAAAGTGCAGTTTGATTAATAAAAGTTATTATTATTAATTATACACAGACAATTATCACATTCAACCCAAAATTATTACATTATTCTAATAGGAGCATGTGGAATCCAGTCCCTGAGCAGGTATTTTTACAGAACTTATTACACAAATTGTCTGGTACATGAAAGTCAGGCATTTAAAAAGCAATTATTACAAAATGGCTGCCCGTTCGTTAGTGTCAACTTGGCCTTGTGGACAGATCGTTTTTTTTTAGTTAGTGCAAGAATAGGGAAGGTATAGAAGTTTTATGTGTATACTGTAAATTTGCATTTATAAAACAAAAACAAACAAAAAAGTTAGTTTTCCCCAGCCACGGGTCCAAGCAGCATCTTGTAACTCAAGTAGGGAGCATGTGCGGAGCTAAAATGGTTATACTACTTGAGTTATCTGGTACTGTGCACGGCACGTTCGTAAATCTCTTAGCTCCAGGGATAACTGGAGTTTAAAGAATAGTTTTTAATTTAAAAAGAACAAAAAACGAAAACTTCACGAAAAATAATGATTTCACATGTATATGACCCATCAGTAAATGATTCAAAATGGGTCAACACTTGTGAAACGTGGTTCAAAATGCAGATAAAGTTAAATTTCAAAGGGAAGACATTTAAGATTATGTTGTTTTGACTTACAAAGACTTAACTGAAAAAAAAAGTTTAAATGATTAGTTTAGGCGTGTCTGAAAACCTCGTAAGAATATGAGTTTATGGAAGCAATGCAGCATCTGTTTAAAAATCAAAGTTCCATGAGTGGAAATTTGTCTTCTTGCCATTGTGTCACAAACAATGTTATACGACAGTTGTTGTTCACAATCCCACAAACTCATATGTCGAGTGGCAAGAAAAGGGAATGTTGAGAACGGATGATCTCAAGAGATAATAAAAGTTTCTGTCTGTGTTTTTTATTTACTGATATTTTCTTTATTTTATTTTCTGATTGGAGTTTTGCACCAAGTATATACATATCCAATAAAAAATCTCATTAGAGTGGATCCACAGGCACAAGTTGCCTAAGTCAACAAAATACAGAATAGTTCATAAACTGGAAAAAAATATACAGAATATAAATAATATATTATGATGCTTTTCCACCCCCCTTCAAGGGAGGTTACCATGTTCATACAAAATCATGACATTCACATTATATGCTCCTTTTCGAAAATATACAAATAAATGATATGAGGAAAGAAGGGCATGTGTGTGTGACCCAATCAGGGCAATCTGTAAGCTTCTCCTCACGGCAAACATCCATCGATCAGTTACTCTAACATGGAAATAAAATATCACAACCATACAATAGACAAATACTATATCAAAATGCTAAAACAGTAAGTACTGGAAGAAAAATGTATAACATATAATGTAAATATTGCCTATATGGGGCCAATAAAAAAACTTTTAAAAAGTATAAAAATAATACAATTGGTGGCTATTTTATGTACGATCTTCTATGTGGGTATAAACACATACAAACTTACTGACTGCAGAGTTCGTTTTGCACCAAACAAGCATGAGAATGCTTTCGGTTACTGCAGTGGCCATGTAAAAGTATACTTCTCTGTGACCACCAGTATAGGTTATTTTTTTAGCACCAGTATTACAACTAATTCATAAAGTGAATGAAAAAGAATCGCAAGAGAGTCTCCCCAATTAAATTCTGACTGCAAAGATGAGCTTCGGGTGGCAATAAAAAGTACTGTAAAAAATAATGCATTCAAGACTAGTTATAGCAACAAATCACATGGACTGTGATCGATCATTTAAAAAATAAATACCTCTCTATACTCGGAATTATCGACCTACTTTGCTACGGTAACCAAACATCTGAAGCCACGCACTATTGGTTACAAGCACACATAATGTTTATGACAGCAAATATTTTAACTTAAGACTTTCGTACAGAATTGCAATAGCAATTATGTCCTTCTTTCCTCTGCCTACATTCCCACAAGTAAAAAATAAGAGTAAGGTCTGAGTACTTCACTTACAGTCCTTGATACTCCAGAAGAAGTTATACATTCATTCTTTCTTTCTGTTTACAAGTAGTCATGTTCCTCGCAACATTTACTATTAAAATTCGCGATACGACAGCAACGTCTTCCAAAGCCGAGATCAGTAAAGAAAAATACAGAAGCAAGAACTGAAGTCAGACAAACAGACTTTACGTTGTCGCAATATAACACCTACAACAAATACAGTCAAGTAGAGAGGTACCAATGAATAACAAGAAAACTAACCTTGCCACAGGGGCACAGACTTTTCATGAAAGGGCCCCGGCCCTTTGATACGGATGTTCCCGTAACTGACCCAAGTGCCTCCGTTTAGCTGCTGCACCTGGATACACAGGCACAGAAAAACAAATTGTTTTAA